TCCTGACCCTCAAAGAGCCTCGAATGTGGCACTTTTTAAAATCTCAGTGCTAGGACAAAGGAGACGTTACTGGGGCCTGCTCAAGGCAATCAATGAACAACAGGATGACAGTGATACAGTGATATAGTAGAAGAATAATATACATGGCCAGGGAAAACAGGGGTTAGTAAGACTGGTTAATGGTTGGAACTAACCACAAGTTTGTGTGGGATTGAGGGTAGGTAAGATAGAGAAGAGATCATTATGACAATAATAGCTGGAAATGATCACTGTGGACAAGATCTGAGGATTGAAAGTAGGTAAGGAATATTCTGGATAACCTTTCAGTATCAATATTGCAAACCACAGTGCCTGAGAGATAGAGAGAATTAGTGTGTGTGAGAGAGTGAGAGTGTGTGCATGCGTGTGTGTGTGTGTGTGTGAGAGAGAGAGAGAGAGAGAGAGAGAGAGAGAGAGAGAGAGAGAAAGAGAGAAGAAAATAGAAATTCATCTGTCATAGAGGCAGGCAGGGGCTGAGGGGTGGGGGGTGATGGGAGGGAACCTGGGATCACTGGTGCTGGGAAATGTACACTGGTGGAGGGATGGGTGTTTGATCATTGTACGGCTGAGTCTCGAACACAAAAAATTTGTAACTGTATCTCATGGTAATTCAATTTAAAAAAGCACGGAAGCACGGTCCTCCTGTTGTTCATCAATTTTCCCAAGTGGGCCCAGTAACGTCTTCATCGTGAGACTTTGTTGTTACTGTGTTTGGCATATCGAAAAAAAAAAAAACCAGATTTCTTTAGTTACATTTCTGGTTGCTAAATTTTACTCCTGACTAAGTAGTCAACTGTATTAACTCTCCAGCTCATCATCCTATTCGTGTTCATATTTCCTTGATATTTGAAGCAAAGGGCACCTTCCATCACCAGTCCCCCCCACCCCTAGTCCTCACCCCGCCTCCATGGCAGGCATTTTCCCTGTCCTCTCTCTACTTTGGGGCATTATGTTTTGCTCGAATTTTCCAACCACCACTCAAGCCTGCCTGCCAGGGGCAGATGCTAGATCATTTATTGTCCATTGCTTATTTTGAATATCTTGGGTGCTGTGGCTGCATGCTTCTGGAATCCTAGGTTGTAAATGGTTGGGTTCCAGAGATATTTCTGTAGGCACTAATCCATTCTGGGATTCAATTGGGCGTCTCTGGAGCAGGGCTGTTGGTGTGCTAAGATGGCACCCAGAGGCACGTTGTGGGGGTGATAGCCAGGTGGATGAGTGGGTGGGGAGTCAGGGAGGGACAGTCCGGTGCTTCTGCCGCTATGTGACATGGAGATTTAATCCTGGAACCCACATACCTGGGCCTTGCTTGTAGTAGCTCTTGGTCGCTGGGATTTCATCTGGAGTAGGCAGGGAGACTGCACCTGCTACATCTGGGGTGCCCCAGTAAAACTGACCCAGTATGGGTCCCAGAGAGAGCTATGGTGTCTTCCGGGAATCGCTGCTGTGTCTCTGGCTATTGATCTCCTTTGAGATTTATTTATGGCTCTATTAAACAAGGCTAATAATATAGTTTACAGGGTGGTGCTGGAGTTGGTTCATGGGGGTGACTGCCAGTGCTACCATATGTATTGGGAAGTGGGGGGAGGTAGCCCACTCCAACTCTGTGAAAGGCTGGAGATTTCAGTCACAAAACCCGCATACCCGAATTTTCAGCAGATTTTATCTTGGTGAGGTCCATTGTGAGATGGTGGAGTCAGACTGGGGGTATGTTGGCAATTTTGAATTGTGGAAGCAAGCAGCTGCTGGGGGCTCTGCACGGGGAGGCACAGGCCAATCGGCACCCCTCCCTGCATTTACCCCTGTCTGTTCAGTCATGCATAGGTCTAAGATTAACTGCGGCTTTTGATCTCTTTCAAGATTTATCTATGGGTCTCTGAAATAAGGCCAATAAGTGAGCTTATATAACTGAGCCAGTAGTGGTTTGTGGGTGTGGCTCCCACATACTTAACTTTTATCTGTTTAATTTCTTGGTAAACTTGGTCCCAAGTGGTTGGGGTCCAGCCAAAGGCACAGCAGCAATTTTGGGGTATCAGGAAGCCTGAAGGCACCATCAGGCTGCTGATGCACTCGCCAAGCAGTACAGGTTGACCTGTTGGCGGCATCATACCCCCCGAAATGTTTCTTTACTGTTCTTATATGTCTTATTTATTCTGATCTTTGGAATAGCTCTAATACTTTTTAGTAGTTCAGTTGCAGAGTGTCAATGTCCAAGCTGATATAAAAGCTACTTTCTTTCATAAGTATGTAGGAAGTGTTATGAGAGACATAACCTCACATGGCACCAAACCCTCTCAGTTCACCTCACAAATGTTATTATGGTGTATGATAAAATTCTGGGAGGTTAAGTAACTTGACAAAAGTCACTGTCATTGTCACTGTCACTATCCTCCGATTGTTCACTGATTTGCTCGAGTGGGCCCAGTAACATCTCCATTGTGACAGTTGGTACTGTGTTTGGCATATTGAATATGTATGGGTGGCTTGCTAGGATTTGCCTTGTTGGGGAGATACTCTCGGCAGCTTGCTTGGGGGGCTCTCTGAGAGGGGCAGAGGAATCGATCTCGGGTTGGCCATGTTGACTGCGTGCAAAGCAAATGACCTACCTGCTGTGCTATCACTCCAGCCAGATTTAGAAAACAGGGATGTCGATCTTGGTACTTTATCTTTTGACTTCTAGATTATCCTACATCTTTCAGTCCAAGTATTTGTTTTTATTCACTTTTTTCGAGGAAAGTGAAACAAGATCTAGAGATAATTAAAACTGACCAGGAATGGAACAAAACAGAATTAAGATAGAATCAAATCAAAAAAATCACAAATCATCCTGTTAATCGCTGATTGCCTCGAGCAGGCCCCAGTAATGTCTCCTTCATCCTAACCCTGAGATTATATTCAAGGCTCTTTAGGAGAATGAGACCCATCATTGTTACTGGTATTTGACATATTGGGTACGCCACAGGGAGTTTGCCAGACTCTGCTGTGTAGGCAGGCTACATTCGGTAGAATCAAATAGTTCCTTCCATTTGCATGTTTATGTTCCTCCATTTTGCTTCATAAGTACACATGCACACACCATTGTAAAAAAAAATTTTTTAAAGGCATGGGGGATGAGAGATAACACTGATAACATTTCCTTGCATGTACTAACTTGGGTTTGATCCTGTCACTACATGGTCTTCAAAGCATCATCTGGTGTATCCCTGAGGCCGTGGAGGGTAATGGTTATAGCCCTGGAGGCCCCAAGACCTTTGTAGTCTTGTAAATTACAGACAGCACTGGACCAGCTGCCTTGGAGGTATCTGGACACCACTGGGGTGGCTCTGGGGTCCCCTGAACTACAAACCCTGAATTGTACTGCATCCTTGGGCTCTAGCACTGAATATCAGCTGGGCTGCCTGAACACTGCTGATAGTAGCCTCCATTCTCTGGTCACCAACCCTCCCTACCCCCATAAATAAAATAAAAGGGCATATGGAATGGAGAAATGGCTTAAAGGACTGGAGACTCAGGTTCAGTTCCTCTACTGCATGGTCCCCTGAGCTCTGCTTGGTGTGGCTCTACTCAACATATAAATCAAATGACAGAAAAACACATATGTGCACAACTATGATATATGTTAGTCACAGTTATAGCCTCCTTGGGGTCAGTGGTGTTCCTATGCTGTCACAGTGACTCTCTAGTGGATTTGGGGAGATGTGTGTGGCAGGGCAGTATTGTCATAACTCTATTTCTCACATAATGATTTGAGGTTACAAAATAGCGACAAAAAGAGGTTTCCACACCACTGGCTTTAGGAACAGGTAAATGTATCCACAGAATCCAAAGTCCTCCACTCACAAGAAACACTCCATACCATCAGATCATAATATATCCCTACCTTCTCCTTTGCTTCTTCTCTCTAAGCTATAATGACCTTCATTCTAATCCTGACTATTACCCTTAACCCGTCCCACTGCCTTTGCACTTACTGTTTCTGTTTTTCAAGGCAGCTTTAAAGTAGATCTTCAATGGACTGCAACCTCCTCATAATCTCTGTAACAGATTCAGTGTCATCTTATAATAACCTAGAAGATGGCTTCTATAGTTTATCAAAAGGAATACGCTTCCAGGAATAAAATAAGACATAGAGAGCCATGTACAGCAGGAAACTTTATTATAATATAATATCACATATTTCAAAGCTGCCATCAAGTAGACTTTAAATGTTCACATCGCGAGAAAAAAATGCTGTGACAACTATGGGGACAGAAGTTTACTAGACTTAATCTGGTTATCACATTATGATAGCACTGCAGCACTGTCCTCCTGTTGTTCATCGATTTGCTGGAGTGGGCACCTATAACATTTCCATTGTAGACTTGTTGTTACTGTTTTTAGCATATTGAATATCCCACAGGGAGCTTACCAGCCTCTGCCGTGTGGGCAGGTACTCTCGGTAGCTATGTATAAATATTGAATCAGCATTCTATATGTCTGACACTAATGTGCCAATTGTATCCTAATCCCACCTAATGTAATTGCCATCCTTTCTCCATCATTCCATTTCAAATTATCCTCTCTCTCTCTCTCTCTCTCTCTCTCTCTCTCTCTCTCTCTCTCTCTCTCTTCTCTCCCCCTTCCATCCCATCTCATTTATTTAGCGGCCCTAGGGATCAAATATCAGGCTTCACACATGCAAGGATTCTATTCTATCACAGAGCCACATTTATGGCTCCTGTGTTATTTTCTTTGTATGATCTACTGCTGCACAAAATTGCCTTATGAGATCACTTGCCTAGCATATGCCTTACAAACAAGAATGCAGCCTCCTTGAGGACAGGTCTGATTTTTCTTTGGATCATCATTTTGTACCTAGCACAAAAGAGGTGTTAGGGAAAGTGTGGTGAATAAAACTATACTCACATACACCCACACGCAAAGCCATAGCCCTCAAATAATGATCATAGAAACCACTATACCTTGTCCGTGAAGAATCCATGTCCAGCACCAACTTTGCTAAATGCTTCCTCTGTTTTTGAATATTTGGGATTTCCACCTGTGGTCATAGATATTAAAGACACAGTTTAATTAAAGCTTAAGATAAATTCTTAAATCACCACTGACAAATTTCTTAAGAGATTTCCAATCCTTATTTTAGGTAAAAGATGAAGATTCTTGACTCCTTCTCCTCAGTTAACCTTTGTCTTTTCTTTACTGAACATCTGCCAGGCCTATCATCAACCCAGGCCGTCTCTGGGTTCTAACTCCACAGAGCAATTAGACTTTACCTTATTCTAGCTCTTACCTCAATCTGTAGATATACAGGGACTGCTACTTAAATATGGGACTGAAGTGGGAGAAAAGCAGGAATAACAGTTAGTAGTTAAATTTGACCCACAAACTTAATTTGAATGTGACTGCAAAGGACAAAGAACACTGGCCTTAGGAGACTTACACTATGGAGAATGCAATTAAGAAAGACTTTTATAGAAACAAAGCAAGATTTTTTTTCCCCAAAGTAAATAATGAATCAACATTACTAGGTTTTTTTTCTAAGCTCTAAGAAGTTCTTCCATAGTGGCTATGTGTGAATATTCTTTTTATACTTTTATTTCTAAAAATGTCTTAACATTCCAGTAAAGGATTTTGGTTCAAGGCCCAGCAAAAGTGGGGCAGGATGTGAAAATTTAAAATGAAAAATCATCACAAATTGAAACATAATCAACTCAGGCTGTAGCTCTCAGACAATGAAGAAGAAATGTGAGAAGGGTCCATCCAATCTTCTGTGAAGCACCTTCTATTCACTCCTGCAGTCAGGCTGAGTAATGTACTCAGGGCAAGGGCTTGTGAAATGGAGTGATGTCTCAGGCCACCAAAAGAGTCAGATTGCCTAGAGGTGATGCTGAGAGCCACGTGGGGCACCTATTACCTAAAACAGTCTCAGCACCCAGGTTTCACACAGAGTTTTTCTCCAGCTTTCACTGGAACTCCAAATGCCCTTAAGTGCAGAGGGTCTTCCATCAGTGCTCCAGGCTGAAAGATGATCTGTAACTGAGTGGCATTTGGGAAAGTCTAGAATGAGAATTTTGCCAAACAAATTTTGTCAAACACTGTACCCAAAGTTTTACTTAGAAGATGCATTGAAAGAATAAGCCTCAATGCCAGGTTGAGAGCTTTGGAGGTGGAGCACATACTTCAAGTGTGGGAGACCCGAGTCAAAACCCTCCACTATGCTGCTGAGGAATCACCCCTACCGGGCTGAGTGCTAGGAGTAGCCCTAGAATACTCTAGGGTGTGCAACTCTGAGAAGAAACACTCTACTAAGAGTGGAACTACTGTTTGGTATGGAGAAAACAATATAGAAATGTCTTTAAAAAATTACAAATAGAGCTACCATATTATCCAGGAATTCTAATCCTTACTGTGTATACTACCCTGTAGCACCATCCTCCTGTTGTTCATAGATTTGCTCAAGTGGCCCCCGGCAAGCTACCGAGAGTATCACACACACACACGGCAAAGCCTGGCAAGCTACCAGTGACATCTTCGATATGCCAAACACAGTAACAAGAAGTCTTGTCACAGGTGCCCGCTTGAGCAAATCGATGAAGAATGGAGGACAGTGCTACCTTCTATACTAAGAAGATAAAATATAAATTTGAAAAGAAATATGCACACTGACATTCACAACAGTGCTATTTATACCAGCTAAGATGTGTAAATAGCCCAAATGCCCAATGATAGATGACAGGAGAGATGCTGCATAAACACCCTGGAAAAATATTCAGTTATAAAAGATGAAAGCCTTTTGCTATAACTTCAATTGAAACTAAGGGTGACAGGCATCAATTTTATGCAAACATTTTTCACAAAAAAGTGGGGTGGGTCCATTATATGAAACTGATTGTGCTGACATTAATTACTAAACTTTTTGGTGCAAGATTAGAATGTATGAAAGTATGTTAAAAATAACTAGTCCAAATCATCACAAATCATTTTTTCATGACAATTTAGCCAACATTTTTCTAGTCTGGAGACACAGTACAGCACACAAGGTGCTTGCTCTGCATGTGGCCAAACTGAGTTTGATCCCTGGCAGCCCATATGGTCCCCCAAGTCCTGCCAAAAGTAATCCCTGAGTACAGAGACAGGAGTAATCCCTGAGTGCTGCTGGGTGTGGCCCCAAAACAAAAAGGCATAAACTTAACGATTAGTTATAACTGAATTACAGCTTATAAATATGACACCTGAGAAAATTTACTACAATGTGTAAAGTACAGATTTACAAAATTTTATTTTTTATTTTTCAATTGAATCACTGTGAATCACAAAGTTAAAAAGTTATTCATGATTCAGTTTCAGGTGTACAATGCTCCAACACCATTGCTTTCACCAGTGCCACTTACCTCCACCAATATCTCTGTTTTCCCTCTGTCCACTGCTTGCCTACAGGGCAGGCACTTTTTTCTTTTTCGTATTAGACATGGTGGTTTACAATACTGTTACGGCTCTGGTACCATGCACATCACTACACCATCTCTTGGCATCCAGTCATCCAGTCCTCCCCAGCAACTACTTCCCTCCATCACTGCTGTAGCAGTCCCTTCCCTGGCCTCTCTCCTCCCTCCTCACCCCCTGCCCCCATTACTCATGGCAAGCTTCCTACTAAAGACCAGTTCACCTGCTCTTTATTTATATTGCATTTGGGCATTAGTTATTAATCTACTGTTTCTTTATATATCACATATGAGTTACATCATTCATACATGGGATTTAAGGAGTATCTCTCCTTCTACCTCTGAATCATGTTATCCAGCACGATACTTTCCAGATCCACCTATGTATCAGCAAATTTTATGACTTTATCTTTTCTTAAGGCTGAGTAGTAATTAGTTGTGTTTATGTACCAGAGCTTCTATATCCAACCATCTGTTCTTGGGCACTTGAATTGTTTCCAAGTTTGGTCTCTTGTGACTAGTGCTGCAATGAACAAAGATGTCTTTTCTGTATTGTTCAGAAATGTCCAAATTATCTTCCCAAAAGGCTGGACTAGTCAACATTCCCACCAACAGTGAAGGAGGGTCCCTTTCCCTTCATAAACACCAACAACGGTTGTTCTTCATGATGAGTGTCAGTCTAGTTAGATGATATCTCATTTCTGTTTGATGACCAGTGATACAGAGCATTTTGTATATGTCTTTTGGGGTCCATTTTTAGTTGAGGGAGTTTCTGTTCATCTCTTCTTCCCATTTTTGATGGGTTGAATATCTTTTCTTGTAAAGTTCTGTGTCTTTGATATTAATGCTTTATAAGTGGTGGACAAATAATTGTGTTCATAATTTCCTTTGCGGTGCAGATGCTTCTTAATTTAATGTAACCCCATTTGTTTATCTTTTCTTTCACTTGCTCGGTCAGTGGCATTTCATCATTAAACATGCCTCTAGCTTCTGTCATGGAGAGTTCTGCCATGGAGAGTTCCTGTATGTACCATGTAGATTCAGGTCTTATATCAAAGACAAAATTTAATCTTTATTTGAAGATTCTGCACCAATATCTTGGTTTCATTGTTTGCCCTTCCATCCTAAGGGTCACTGATACAAAATGTATTTTATGGGCCCGTGGCAATAGTACTATGGGTAGGCTATTTACCTTGCATTGTGGCTAAATCAAAATCAACCCCCTGACTCTCATAAGGTCCCCATGCCCTGACAGGATTTACCCCTGAAAATAGTCAGGAGTAACCTCTGAACACCTCTGGCTGCAGCCAACAATAAGGGCTTACCTCACAGCTCTGCCATCATGCACCATTTTCAGATACATTGAGCATATTTTGAGGTTTCCGTTTTTTTTTTTAAATTTTTCGATATTATTTCATGTGGCAAATGGACCTACTCTTAATTACCTATGTGTATAACAATTCCAAGGATGATTTCTTAATACTAAAGGAATTTAAAATGATTATTACTGCTCATAATATAGTCATTGAATGAATAGCACAAGTGACTTTAAGGGGTTTGTTCACACATGACAATGTCCATGTGCTGAGAATTCTAGATTCCAACTTGCAAATGCTAAAGAAGACTAACATGCACCCATATGCTACTAGCAAACACAATGGAGTTCTGTTTACCTTTTATGTAGCATGACAAATCTTCCATGATTTATGAGGAAAAATTATAACCTCATTTTTGAACTAAAATAAAGTATGCAGCAATTATACAATTGATTACAATAAACAATGTATGTTAAGGGAGATGAATAAATGTTTAATATCCTTTATCACTTAATCACTTAATCCCCGTTATTCATCGATTTATTCGAGCGGGTGCCAGTAACGTCTCCATTCATCACGGTTGCGTGCTAGCGTAGCCCAATGGTATCTGTTCGTTTTAGGAACATGTAGAGCCTCAAACCGATCATTTAGGGTCTTGACGAAGAAGTCTGACCATCTTATAGGTGGGCGTCCACGTGATCTTTTGATGTCTCGTGGAATCCAATCAGTAATGGCTCTAGTCCAGCGGTTGTCTGTAAACCTCATTACATGTCCAGCCCATCTGATTTTTGATGTCTTGGCAAATGAGACAGCGTCTCTGATTCTTGAGCGTTGACGAAGATCAGAACTCCGGATTCTATCTCTCATTTGAGTGAATCGTGATATTCCAAGCATAGTTCTTTCGATTCCTCTTTGAGAGACCCGAATAGTGTTCTCATCCTGTTTTCGTAGGGTCCAGGTCTCTGAGGCATATGTTAATGCAGGAAGAATAGTGGAATCAAAGAGATGTGCTCGTAGTTGGAGGTTCTTTGTCCTTTTAGTTATTTCTTCAATGCTCTTGAAGGCATTCCAAGCCGCTCTCTTCCTCCTGCGTAACTCAGGTGCCAGGTCATTCATCATGTTGATTTCTCGACCTAAGTATATATAACTGTTGCATTCGGAGATGGTGGTTCCATTGAGAGCGAATGGAGCGTCAGGAACAAGGCTGTTTCTCATAAACATTGTCTTCGTAAGATTCAGCTGTAGTCCAACCTTTCCACACTCACGGTCAAAGTCCGCAACCA